CCTTTCCCCCGCTCCTCCACACACATGCCTTTCACAAGTTTCTCTGCAGTCCAACCCCATCTTCAAAAAAAAAAAAAAAAAAATTCCTGGCATGTTCTTTGGCTCGTCTGGTTTTGCCGGACGGACGCCCCCCAGTCTGTCTGGACCGGGCGTCAACCTAACCCAGGTTTCATTCCAATATGTCATTTGAAATTCTTCGTACTTCCCCCCTCCCCTCCCCCTCTTTCCTCCTGTAATGCCGCTGTCAATTTTTGATCATTTTAATTCAATTTCCCTGTTTTTTATCAGCCCCCTCCCCCCCCCCCGCCCCTATATAACCTAACTCCTTCCTGCTGCAGGTAGACAATGGCTGCCATAAGATTCTATCTTACCAATAGCTGACAAGGTATATTTTCCGGTGTTAATAAAAATTCAATATCCTGTAAGGCTGCTTAAAAAGCATCAATATTCTATGAGGCGGCTCAAAAAGCATCAATATTCTGTGACGCTGCTTAAAAAAAAAACATCAGTATTGGGCGAATTGGGCGAAGAGATAACTAGTGACGATCCGGGACAACAGCCAGAAATTGAAATGATTGTGAAACTTATGATGAGTGGACTGCACCGTGACGTTGGCGATAAACAGAACGAAATGACAGTGAAGTTGGGGTGAACTGACAATGGACTGACGATGAACAGGCATAGGCAATTGTTCTTTAGACACTGTTGAGGTACTGAGCTATTAATGAACTCGCTATAGAACGACTGCTAACCAACAATGATTGGATGGACCGACGATGATGATGATGATGATGATGATGATGATGATGATGATCGGTGGGAATGAATGTAGAAGGGAATTGGTGGTAAGTTCATAAATGACAATGACAGTGAGTTCTCATCTGTTGAATTAACACAGTATCAATGATGACGTGACACGATATTGTTCCATCATTATTTAGAGCAGTTAAGATGTTCAAAGACCGATTTAACAGCTTTGTCACTGCAATTGGGCCTCACCTCACCACTCATCAAATGTGCAAAAAGAGAATGAATTGTTCGTTAGGACATGGAAAGATTCATTGCCACAATTTCAGTTGTTTGTGCATTTGGGAGTAGTGCAGCCAGGCCAGTTATCCTGCTGAATAGTAATGAAAGAGAATCCGTCCAGGATTTATAAATTTTTGAAGTAAAGAAAGAAAGAAAGAATCATCTGACGCCAGAGCGGGTTGTTTCGTTGTTTTGTGTGTTTGTAGGTTGGTGGCATTATTACTGTCCCTTTGATGCTGACAGATCCTGCGGAAGGAAACTTCTCCCTGTCGGAGCGGAACTGTAAGTCGTCTGGAGACCGATAACTCTGCATGGATAACCTGTCACCAGAAAATGGACGTCATACCCTTGATAAGAGTTTTTTTTTTGTTTTTTTTGTTTTTGCACTTGCATGCTAGGCTACCAGCCGGGCCGCCCGGGTCACCTTGTTTGCCCGGGGGGCCCGGCCGTGCAAGGACCGAAGAAGGTCCCAGCAAAAAAAAAAAAAAAAAAAAAAAAAAATCTGAAAAAGAATTATGTTATGCAGAACAATTAACTGAACAACATTTGCCTCAGGGTCACATCGAAATTCTTTACCAAATATAAAATAAAAAATAGAACTAAAAAATATTTTTATATTGTTTTCTGGCTCGGCTGTGCAAGTGGTCCCGGGCCACTCTGGTAGCCTAGCTTGGATGCATACATATCATTGCGAGAGAAATGTTGAGAGGAAAAAAGCTTTTCAAAAGGGTGAAAAGGGTTAAGGGGCCAAGCTCTCACAGATGTTTGCATAGTGAGGAACGAGCCCTCACAGGGCCCTATCAGACATCACATGTTCTGGTCAAAGGCCCCCAGCATGACTCCCGTGGTGTCAAAAAATGGGCGGCCTGTGCCCGCCCTAAGTGAAGGCGGGCCTGAATATTCGGCAGAGACCAAAAATTTGACACTTCCATATGTGGGTATTCAGGCTCTTGCAGCACGCCAGTTGGTTGAGTGGATGCGTGAGTCTCACTAAGCTGCCTCGTACAGTTGGCCCAGGCCTTGACAGTTGCGCCTGGGCACATACACACAAAGCAGGGCCGATACATTGGGAAGCAGGCCATCGGCCTATGCAAAAGCAGTACTGTCGGCGCACCTACCTGGGAGCCCTGCACAGATGCAGCAAACAGCCCAAGTCCGGAGACTCGGGCCATGCGCAACTGTAAAGGCGCCCAGGCCATCAACTGTAGCCTCGGGCCTGGGCTGGGTGCAGGGACCGAGGCCCATCCGGAAGCTACTGGAAGCTTCCAGCCAGGCCACACGCAGCATCCAAGAGGCTGCCACTTCCATATAGGAAGTGAGGTAGCTCAGGCGAGGTGTTCTGGCCTGCGCAGGCAATGCGGACACGCTGCTGCACTGCTGCATTAGATGCTGCACTAATGGTCAGGGCGCTGGCGGGGCGCGTAGAGGTGAAGTGGGGCGCTTCAGGGCAGCGGGGTGCAGGCTGCCATAGCCGGGCTGTTGGGCGCCAGGGGGTAACAGGGCGATCTGGTGGTCTTCAAGAAAGGAGGCGAGTGTGGGGTATCAAGGTCTGATGAGGGTGACGAGATACGTACCTGGTGCATGAAGAGAGGTTGGCTATGGTGTTGACATCATGTACATTGGTCTTCGAGAGTCGAAGTAAGCCTGTTGCGTGAACACAGCTGTAGGTAGGATAGTTGAGTAGAGTAGGCTAGGCACTGGCGCCAGACAGGAGAGGAGCGACTTTGGATACTGTGTTGGTGTGGCCTGCGGGCTTGAACATTCGCTCGTTACTTCATTGTATTTGGATGGATTCTCGGTGCAATTATGCTTTCTGCTTGTACACGACTACTTGGACATCTGTGCGAGTTCGCAACTTGGTTTTCTGTATATCGTTCACACTCATATCCCTTTCAATTTGGTATCGGAGCTTGTTCGTGATCGCCGCTTACCTGGTGCTGGCGACATTGTTACTTGGTGCGCTGACGATGCTTCATGTGCAGTAAGGATACTTTGACGCTGGCTTGTTATAGCGGGGCCCAGGCGAAGGGGCCGGCTGCTGGAAGGCTGTGGCGACAGCGTGGGAGCTGTGGCGACAACGGATGTGTGTATGATGATGAGAGCATGCTGACGTGGCATTTTGGCTGAGGTGGCACGGCATCGCGTTGTGAGTGGTACCAAGGCTATTGACCGGTCATCGAAATGCACGTCAGCCCAATTGGTGAGAAATCTGTGGTTGGGGGCAGCTATCTCCAAGTACGTTGTTCCCATTCCTTATCTACCCTCTCAATCTCTTCTTACCGTGAGGAAGTGAGTCCAACTTGAGTGTCCTCTCTTTGGTGAGGAGTCGTGTGCGCTCTACCTTGAGAGGCGACATTCTTCCCAGTGGTGCATCTGGCAGGAGAGGGCAGTGCCTCTGAAGAGCCCTGGTCGAAGCACGGGTCACGGTCATCATGCCAACCCATGGGAGTAGTACACGCAGGCCATGCTGCTTTGTTATTTGACGCTCTTTGCTGCGCTGATAGAAGGGGTGTGCAGACTGACCAGTCCTAAGCAGACGCTCCCAGACCGTCTATAAACATTTTTGGTTGGGGTCTGAACTGTCCACTGGCTGTGATCGCCGTCTTGATTACGACGTTAAATAATTGTTGAGGACTCTCGGGGGATGTCCTTAAATTGCCTCTTGATCAGCGAGATCAGTTAGACATAAGGCTCGTTGCACGCGAGGGTAAATAACGGGCAGGATGGTCATAAGCATACGTGTTGGGCATAGGGGTGGGCCGTTGTTGCAGACCTTAGACACTGCCGCTTGATGATGCTCACATGTACGTTGGATACAGGGGAAGGGGATTCCAATTGTGGGCTCGACTGAACATCACTATCATCATACCCATTGTGGATACATCCGCTCACATTAGTTTATTTTTCTTTTGATTAGTTAGTTGACAGATTGCTGACACCTGACAGATAGCCTAGAGTAGGACTATAATCTTTTTTTTTTTTTTTTTTTTTTTTTAAAACAGGTCCGTATGGTCCTGGCTCCGTATCCATTCTGGGGAGCGTCAGTCCGGTTACTAATACCCCGGCAAGTCAAAAATGAATACATCATGAACCCAATCACGCTTCCTTCCGTTTGGCCGAAGGAACCCTGACCAGCATTGATTGCTCCCATTAGGAGGATTGACTGTCAGCTTGCCTTCCCCTGCAATTCCTCTCAGATCCCTCTGTGGGAATATGTCAAATAATCTTTAAAAAAAAAACAAGGAAAGTGGAGAACGGCCCGTGAGTTGCTATTTCGACCACCATTAGTGTCTTGTGACTCATGTATATGTCCTTATGTCGCCTGTGGGTCCTGTGGGCAGCCCGCAGCTTGTTGCAGTGGGCTTCTCCAGCTAATTTCCGAGTTGTGCCAGTCTTTCCCGCACAATCTGCCTTCTCTTAGCTCGGCCACTTTTCTCCCACCAGCCACACTTTGACAAACTTGGAGAGGGTAGTATTTTGTCTCTCATCGTCCTCGGGGAGTGTCTGTTTCGTTTTGTGCCCCACCTGCATAGGATCTCCGCCTGAATCAGTGTCCTGGTTTCTGTCCAAACCTTTTCTCTTGGCGTTGATAACCCTTCAATCGTTCTGCTGCATCTCTCCTTCCATATAGCCCATAGTGTGACTTTCCTGATCATACCGTACCATGTCTTCTCTGAGCTGTTGAGGTCAGTCGGGATATTAGTCCATAGTAGAAGTTGGATGGGGTGTTCAGGGAATGACTTAGTAAACAGGGACTCCCAGAGATCCGACACCCTCGCCCAGTATTCTGTTGCTTCTTTGCATCGGATTAGGCAGTGAAGTAGGTCTTCCGGTTCATTTTCTGAGCATATTGTGCATCGGTCGAAACTGTTGGGATCGTTCTCCCTTCTGCGAATGTCGAGCCACTGGTTGACCGGGAGTGCTACATAAGCTATCAGCCATTGGAGACTCCTGATTTTGACCGGCTTGATTGATTTGTATTTCTTCCATGGAATCTGTGTGATTTGGTCTTTTTTTTTTTTTTTTTTTTTTTTTTTTAAATTAATAGCTCCATTCTATTGGTGGGGAGCATCACCTGCTGGAAATCGGGTCCCTCTTGATCGATTACTTTTGCCCATCTGCTTTTGATTATTCGTTTCGGATCTTTGGTTTTGATGAATAGTCTGTATCCCATCTTCACCAAGTAGTCTTGGATTTCTGTTTTCGTGTATTTGTTCACTCCTGATGTCCACGCCCATTCTGCTGGGTCGAATTCCATCTCTTGGATCGCTGTGTCCATCCTAAAGATTGATTTGGGCCAGAAGCCCATCACTCCTGAGCAGAAAGATATCTAGATTTGTTCTTACCACATCCTTTTCTATGATGGAGGCCGAACCCTGCACCGACAGCGATATTGCTTAGAGTGAGTACGGTATGAAACCTGTCTGATCTATGTGGAAGCACTTGTCTGTAAGATCCAGGATTCTGAGGGCCAGGGTTTTCGCCAAGATTTTGTACGGTAATGTGAGTAGAGAAATGGGCTTGGTAGTTTCGTACGTCTTCTTTGTCCCTTTTTTTTATAGAAGTGTGACTACACTGCTGCTCAACATGTTCCCAAGGCCCCCCTTCAGCCAGCTGTCCTTGTAGAAGTTCAGTAGATCACCCCCAAGAAGTGGCCAGCACTTCTCCCAGAATTCTTTTAGTCCTTCAATGCCTGGAGTTTTGTTGTTGTTCATACTTTGGACTGCCGCTTGCAGTTCCTCTAACGTGATGGGCTTGTCTAGAGTGTCTGCCTGTTCTTGTGAGATAGTTTTATCTAGGTACTGGAGCATTCTAGTCCGCGCTTCTCTAGTACTGGGGGGAGTAGAGGTAGGTGTCTTTGTTTGGTAGAGGTCTTCATAGAACTCCTTGGCTATGTTTAGCATTCCTTTGCTGTCTTTTAGTGTCTCCGCCGTTTCAGAGAGGGTTTTAAGGCCCTCTATTGAGCTAGATCTTGTGTTTGCTTTAATCCTCGCAAAGAAGTGCTTTAACATTGACTCGCTGAGCTCATACTCATTCATTCTCGATCTTATTTGCAATCCCTTTAATTCCCACCATCTCCATACAGCCAGCTCCTCTCTTGCTTTGTGGAAAATGTTTGTATAGAAAGGCGAAGATGGATTGTCAACTAAGTTGGACTCTGCGACCCTTAGAGCGGCTTCTAGAGCGATTTTTCGTTGTTTCCTGTCGTTTGACATTTTCCTCGATATGTTGGATGCTGTCTGGGCCAGTGCGGAGTAGCTATCTTGGAACCAATCCCATCT